TAATTGTTGTTTGTAACTTAAAATTGTTGTGACTTGATTATATACACATGTACTCTGGGCTGGAGGCCTTTATTACAGAATAAAAGAGTCTTGAGTTTTGAGATCGTTGTTGGGGAAGACGTGTTACATTATCCCTGATGGTTGTTGGGGAAATCGTGTTACATCATCCCTGATGGTTGTTGGGGAAGACGTGTTACATCATACCTGATGGTTGTTGGGGAAGACGTGTTACATCATACCTGATGGTTGTTGGGGAAGACGTGTTACATCATATCTGATGGTTGTTGGGGAAGACGTGTTACATCATACCTGATGGTTGTTGGGGAAGACGTGTTACATCATACCTGATGGTTGTTGGGGAAGACGTGTTACATCATCCCTGATGGTTGTTGGGGAAGACGTGTTACATCATCCTTGATGGTTGTTGGGGAAGACGTGTTACATCATACCTGATGGTTGTTGGGGAAGACGTGTTACATCATCCCTGATGGTTGTTGGGGAAATCGTGTTACATCATCCCTGATGGTTGTTGGGGAAGACGTGTTACATCATCCCTGATGGTTGTTGGGGAAGACGTGTTACATTATCCCTGATGGTTGTTGGGGAAGACGTGTTACATCATACCTGATGGTTGTTGGGGAAATCGTGTTACATCATCCCTGATGGTTGTTGGGGAAGACGTGTTACATCATACCTGATGGTTGTTGGGGAAGACGTGTTACATCATCCCTGATGGTTGTTGGGGAAGACGTGTTACATCATACCTGATGGTTGTTGGGGAAGACGTGTTACATTATCCCTGATGGTTGTTGGGGAAGACGTGTTACATCATCCCTGATCGTTGTTGGGGAAGACGTGTTACATCATACCTGATGGTTGTTGGGGAAGACGTGTTACATCATACCTGATGGTTGTTGGGGAAGACGTGTTACATCATCCTTGATGGTTGTTGGGGAAGACGTGTTACATCATCCTTGATGGTTGTTGGGGAAGACGTGTTACATCATCCTTGATGGTTGTTGGGGAAGACGTGTTACATTATCCCTGATGGTTGTTGGGGAAATCGTGTTACATCATCCTTGATGGTTGTTGGGGAAGACGTGTTACATCATCCTTGATGGTTGTTGGGGAAGACGTGTTACATCATCCTTGATGGTTGTTGGGGAAGACGTGTTACATCATCATTAAACGTGTAACACGGAACACACATTAAATCATATTTTTTAAGACTACATTTAACATGTTTGGGTGAGTGAGTGAGTATGGTTTAACGCCGCGTTTAGCAATATTCCAGCAATATCACGACAGGGGACACCAAAAATGGGCTTCACATATTGTACCCATGTCGGGTCCTCGGCGTGACGAGCGAACGCTTTAACCATTAGGGTACCGGACCGCCCCCGAACCATGTGGGAAGCGCGCGGTCTGGATAGCTGGGAGAGATGAAACTCTAGGTTAACCCTTAACCCTAGTTGTTACTCTGTCTGTCGCTCGCCATTAAGAGGCTAAAACAAGGACTGGTCGGCTCTGAGTCAGTATAATGTGTCTGAGTGGGGTATTCATGTTTAACTGCGGCATGGTATCTCAGTGGGCTAGCACAATAACTCGGCTTCAGTCCGGACTAGTACAAGCAGCCACACACACACACATGCACGCACGCGATGTTAAGCCCCATTTTACCTCATCTTATAGGGTAGTTTGAACCCTGTGATACAGAAATCAGATATTGTAAATCTTGAAATTAACGCAAGCGTGTATTAAATGCGAAAAATGCGAAAGGCCTTTGCGCGCATTATTATACATCGTATTTATATAGAAATAAGACATTTTGGATAGCAGGAATAAACTTAGACATATGCTGAAAACAAAAAACTATGTATTCAACACCACTGTTACTTACTTACTTACTTATATTGGAGATTTTACGTGCGCTTTCCGACTGCAGCCTATTTCGCACACGGTACAACGCCACTGTTACTTACTTACTTACTTACTTTGGAGATTTAACGTGCGCTTTCCGACTGATGCGTATTTCGCACACGGGCCCGGCCCGGCCATTTAATGTGTTTCCGAAAGGGGCGAAAGTGGTCTGTGCAACCCAAGAGGGGGGTTTTAGGGGTTGCTTATATAGAATTTGGGAAATTTGAGATTTGGAATAGATGCCGATGGTATTGGGGAGGAGAACTAAGGGAGCTGGGTATGGTGGATGTTTGTTTGTTTATGTGATTTTGATTTGGTAGATTATTGTGTTTTTAGATGCGTTTAATTAGTTCCGTTTTGATTAAGAATACGCCTAAGGCCTTGAAGTTTTCTAGTTTATTTTGTGGGTTTAGTATTGCTTCTAGAGTTAGAGCCTTGTTTAGATTGAGGGTGGTTTGTAATGCGGTTCGATGTGTTAGGTAGTGTGTGCAGTGGATAAGTGCGTGTTCTGGGGTTTCTAGTTTAGCTGCTTTATCGGCGTTTTCATTACCGATATTCCTACGTGGGCGGGTATCCACAAGAAGGTTATTTGTTTGCCTGCCTTAGTTAGGTCGTTGGAGCTTTTAAGTATTTGATTTATTAATTTAGGTCGTTTTTTGGTATTTTTGTTTTGGAGGGCTTGCAGTCCACTTAGGGAGTCGGTAAGTATTAGGATTTTTTTGTGTTTTTTGGATTCTTGATTATGGAGGGCTGAGGCCATGCCCATTAGTTCTGCCGTGAATATTGATTGGTTGTTTGGGAGTCGGAAGGATTGTGTGGTTTTAGTTGGTTGTGTGGTATGGACTTCGATTCCCCACATAGTAGCAGATTTCTGGTGTCCCCTGCCGTAATTTTGCTGGAATATTGCTAAAAGCGGCGTATAACCAAACTCACTCTATGCCTTAACCCTAGTTGTTACTCTGTCTGTCGCTCGCCATTAAGAGGCTAAAACAAGGACTGGTCGGCTCTGAGTCAGTATAATGTGTCTGAGTGGGGTATTCATGTTTAACTGCGGCATGGTATCTCAGTGGGCTAGCACAATAACTCGGCTTCAGTCCGGACTAGTACAAGCAGTGGTTACAGTATGTATATCTGAATGCTTCGCTCACTCAAATCGAACATTTAGAAGCCTGATTACAAAGTTAACTTCGCGCGACCCTCACTAGGGGTGATTCTATAGCTCTGATTATCAGCAGCCTATAGGTTCTCGTTTACTAATTACAGAACTAATTACTAATTACAGAACAACGTACGAGCTACGAGGGATTACGGAGTATCCGTCCCGTCTGAATTAATTGGCCATGTCGAGAAACTTTCAACATTAATTCACGAGGGACAGATGATCCATGATTCAGAGTTGTCAGTAGATTTTTCATTACATTACCCTCAGTAACGTTTTATGATTTTTTTTTAAAGCAGCGGATTTCCTTTTCTCCAATGCAGACGACAGTTCCCATACGCTATTGTTTTCCAGACGTCACATAACAACGCCATGACGTCACCTCACATACGCTATTGTTAGCACAGCATCACATAAAAGCGACATGATGTCAACTCACATACGCTATTGTTGACAGCATCACATAAAAGCGCCATGACATCAGCTCAGATACGCTATTGTTGGCACAGCATCACATTAAAGCGCCATGACGTCAGCTCAGATACGCTATTGTTGGCACGGCATCACATAAAAGCGCCATGACGTCAGCTCAGATACGCGATTGATGGCACGGCATCACATAAAAGCGCCATGCCATCAGCTCACATACGCTATATATAGCTATTGTTGACACGGCATCACATAAAAGCGCCATGACGTCAGCTCACATACGCTATTGTTTGCACGGCATCACATAAAAGCGACATGACGTCAGCTCAGATTCGCTATTGTTGGCACGGCATCACATAAAAGCGCCATGACATCAGCTCAGATACGCTATTGTTGACAGCATCACATAAAAGCGCCATGACATCAGCTCAGATACGCTATTGTTGGCACAGCATCACATAAAAGCGCCATGACGTCAGCTCAGATACGCTATTGTTGGCACGGCATCACATAAAAGCGCCATGACATCAGCTCAGATACGTGATTGATGGCACGGCATCACATAAAAGCGCCATGACATCAGCTCAGATACGCGATTGATGGCACGGCATCACATAAAAGCGCCATGACGTCAGCTCAGATACGCGATTGATGGCACGGCATCACATAAAAGCGCCATGCCATCATCTCAGATACGCTATTGTTGGCACAGCATCACATAAAAGCGCCATGACGTCAGCTCAGATACGCTATTGTTAGCACGACGTCACATAACAACGCCATGACGTCAGCTCACATACGCTATTGTTGGCACGGCGACACTTAAAAGCGCCATGACATCATCTCAGATACGCTATTGTTGGCACGGCATCACATAAAAGCGACGTGACGTATAACATTAGATTAGGTCATCTTCAATTATTTACGAATATATGACGCCCTGTTGCTGTGGACATCTTCACAAATAATGAAAAGATTTGAACAGTTGTTAAAAGTCTCAGTGAGTATTATTGAAAATAATTTCACCTATATCCGTGTCCTCATTGGTAATATCTCGCATTTAATACCTGATTCTCACTAACCAACCATGACATTTCGCATCCACTACAAGCAAACACAGATAGGGAAGTTTTTGTCGTTGAAGAGGGAGAGAGATCACATTTGGGTGTTTCCGTTCTGCACCGGTCTTAGTCGGAAGCCTGTCAGAGACTACTCGATACTTCCCCATCGACGTGCATCTATGCAAACATGATACCCAGCTCCCGGATTATTCCCCACAGCCTGAACCGCCGTGGCCGATGGATCGATCGGGTGCTACATCCTACACTTCCTGTGACGTCCACCATTAAAAGGCCATCTGGGGTAGGAAGCAGATATGGAATCTGCAATGTCAACATCAATCATATTATATCCAGATAACATTTACTTTCACTGGACAGACACAAGCATTGTTCAAAAGGACTGTGCACCGTGTTGTGTGGTAGAAGGAAGAATGGACAAGTACCGCCTGTTGACCAGAGTGTGTCAGAGACTGCTGAAAAAGAGCAACGGGACGGACAAGACGTACTGTGAGGGGGTCCTCGGCATAATGTCTCGGCACGGACAGGAGTCCCGTCTGGCCATCAAGTCCATCCAAGATATAGCAGAACAGGCGAAATATGTGCTAGTGGCCGTCTACACCGTTTCGCTGGCGGTTTCTTTCTTAGGAAATACATTAGTAATCATGTCCTTTGTATTCCACCGCCACATGCGTTCCGTCATGAATGTGTTTATAGTTTCACTTGCTGTCAGTGACTTTCTAATAACCGTAACTTGTTCTCCTATCAATATCGGAAACGCGTTGGCAAAATACTGGATACTTGGGGGATTTGCCTGTAAAGCCATGCCGTTCATGACCAATTTGTCTGTAGCTTCTAGTTCTCTGACGTTGTGTTGCATTGCATTAGATCGCTACAATGCTATTATTCATCCTCTCAAATTGAACGCCACCAAGAACCCAAAGCGAGCGGTCATACTTCTTCTTTGCGTCTGGGTCGTCTCAATCTCCGCCAGCATACCCTATGCTCTGCTATACAACATCTACGACATCTGCAAGGGAGACAACTGTGAGTCAGAGGCCCACCTCTGTTACGGGTCTGACAGAGGCCTCCTGGCGTCTCTGGAGATGTGGCTAACGCTGGTTGTGCTCCTGGTCCTCCCGCTCTCCTTCATAGCGGTCACCTACGGAATCGTCATCTGGCGGCTGTGGTCCAAGAGGACCATTGGGGCTCGGATACCGACAGCCGAGGACCTAAGGACCCGGTACAAGAAAAAAGCGGTGATGATGATGGTGCTGGTGGTGGTGCTATTTGCTTGCTGCTGGACGCCGCTTCTTCTCTTTGACGTCATCGGCAGAGAAGAAAGCTTGAAGGCGTCCCAGAGCAACCTCATACTCAAGTACTTCCTCCAATGGTTCGCTCTGAGCAGTGCTTGCTACAATCCTATCATATATGCCTTTATGAATGAACGCTTTCGGAAGAATGTTGTCAAGCTTCTGACGTGTCGGCGGGTGCGCGTGGAGCCCGTGAATCCCAGACAGACAGGGGCGGTGAGGCTTAGAGCCTCCCAGCAGCCTCCCATAAGGACTCGTCAATCTGAGGGAACCACCAGCAGATTCTAGCAGGGAGGCTATATTAGGTATATAAATTCCTGGTTCCAGAACGTCAAACTGCCACTGCCAACTGCATGGACTCCTATTGTTTGATCTATAAGTAAGTGTGGGACCTAACGTGTTGGACGTTTTAAGTGACATGTGTGGTTTCAAGTTTGGAAGTAACTTTCGATAGATGTTCATGTTGCATTACGAGTCACATTGAAATAAGTATAAATGGTTGTTTCATTTGTTTGAGAAATGTGTTAATTTAACTTGGTTCGAAAACACATTCATGTGTTGACAAAATTCCATAATTTACAATTTCCTAACTCTATCCCTTACTTCACCCTTACTCTAATCATAACCCTAACCCTAACCATTCCTCTAACCCTTATTCTAACCTTTACTCTTACCCTTCCTAACCGCCTCCGTGGTCTAGTGGTAGAGCGTCCGCCCGGAGAGCGGAAGTTCCGGGGTTCGATCCCCGGCCGCGTCATACCAAAAGACGTTAAAAGATGGTACGTGTTGTTACCCTGTCTGGCGCTCGACATTAAGGGGCTAATACAAGGACTGGTCGGCTCGGAGTCAGTATACTGTTTCTGAGTGGGGTATTCGTGTTAAACTGCGGCATGGTATGTCAGTGAGCTAGCACTATAAATCAGCATCAGTCCGGACTAGTACAAGCAGCCACACAAACACACACACGTACATGCACGTCGCTATATAAGTGCAATAATCTTGGACGCAACGTTAAACTCAATTTCACTTCCTCTAACCCTAACTCTAATATTGACTCTAACAATGACCCTAACCCTTACTCTAACCTTTACTCTAACCATTTCTCTAACCCTTACTCTAACATACTCTAACCTTTCCTCTAACCCTAGGGCGGTCGGGTAGCCTAGTGGTTAAAGCGTTCGCTCGTCACGCCGAAGACCCGGGTTCGATTCCTGACATAGAAGCCCATTTCTGGTGTCCCCCACCGTGATATTGCTGGAATATTGCTAAAAGCGGCGTAAAACCATATTCACTCACTCCTCTAACCTTTACTCTAACCATAACTCTAACCTTTACTCTAGCCCTGACTCTAACCCCTACTCTAACCTTTACTCTAACCCTTCCTCTAACCCTAACTCAATCAAAGAATGGCTTTTTCAGTCGTAGAATATCCACAGCCACGCCCTGTCTTATTTCATGTGACATACAATTCTCGAATATGACAGAACATTGTATATTCGCTATACGCCCATGCGTGCGTTCTTTCTAACTTCAAGCGACACAAATTACCAGAATATTGTCATACAGCTACTTTCTCGCGTTTACGTTTACAAAATGTACATACATAGTTACATAATTTATA